TCGTTTATCTTCTTTATCTTTTGATATTCTTATAATACTTAATCTTCTAGCTTTTTTATGCTCTTTTTTATTTTTTATCTTTTTTGTTTTCTTGTGTTATTGTTATCTAATACTTCCTCCGTCTCTTTTTAGTTGCAACAGTCAACATTTCACGTTTGTCAAGGCACAACTTTGACCGTCATTATATTTAATTCTGTATTAGTAAAAATAAAATAAAATCAGATTATAAAACTTAGTAATGAGACGAATTTAACAATACTTTTCAAAAAAAATTCACATACATTAATAAATAAAATGTAGTCAAAGTAAAGTACATGAATAGTGTATATATTTCAATGTTGCAATTAATGTGATACGAAGGATAGTATGTATTTATCTTTATTTTATTTGTTTTATCTTACTTTTTTTCTTCCTTTTCTTGTCCGTCTTCTCTGTTTGGCATCAATTACATAGATCGATTCATGTTAGCCGACCCCAAATTCTTTTGGAATTAAGGCTTGGATGTTGTTGTTGGACTTTCTCTTTCATATTTTTCATTACTTTTCTCTTCTCAATATACTATTTTTCCTACTTTTTCATTTACACCTTCTATATTACCCCTACTATTTTCCTCTTAAAAGTCATGAAAACCCTAAGAGAATAGTTAATTAGAGTACGGAGGTAGTAGATAAAACACATTAAAAATGTATAAAAAATATGGAGGCCTTTCCCATAGCCTAATTCATATCTGATCGTCGAAAAAATTGTCATTTTATGTATAAAAAATGACACTTTTGTGAAGATGAAAATGACAATTTTACTCTTTGAAAATGTGAAAATTTTCTTTAAAATCGCGATCAAGATGACATTACTCACACATGTTAGTATTTTTTCCACAGGCAGGGGCGGATTTGAGGGCAGTTGGGCCAGGCAACTGCCTTGGTCCTCAACTGCCAAGGGGGCCTCCAAAAAATTCTACTCCGGTATTAGTATTAGGTGTTATTCGAAGACTGCCAATACACCGAGCGGCAACTGCAAGCCGCAATCGGCTTTATATTTCACGTCTGACTATCATTCCTTCACCAAAGTTGTAGCTAATGAAGTCTTCTGTCCAACACAACTTGCAAAACTGGATTTGAATCATCCAATCAAAATACATGAATAAAATGGTGGAAGGTCGCATTCTGAAATCTCAACAGAGATTATCTGACTTCATCGTCTGTTTTCACCTTGCTTCTCTCAGATTCTCGCAATGTTGTCTTCATGTGATTTGTAGCTCTTGAAGTTGGCTATCATATGAAACTTGAATTGTGTTCTTTGGATGTTCCTAAGAAAAGATATGCTTGAACGATTGACAGAACGTCATGCTGACCGTTATTTTCAAGCTCTATTCGTCTTCTTTTGATCATGTAGCCAATTCTAGAGCTCTTTTGTCTTCAAAACTTCGTCTTTAACACCTCACTGACCTCCAATGCTCCTAATCAGCTCTCAAATGCTTCTCGACTCGTCCGTTGTGTTTTGCATATGTTTGCATTTAAAAATTTATCCTTTTGAATATTACAAACATTATATCGTGGACTTTGAATATGTTTTTTTTCATAAGACAATTTTTATTCAATTTATCTGATTTTAAAAGTGATTTGTACATAGTAAATATTGTCGTCTGGGGTCTCCGAATTGCTCGAGCCGCCTCTGTTCACAGGTGTTGTTGAGAGGTTGTTGAGGTGTCAGCCTGCACTTTTTTCCTGTTTTAATCTTTTAAGGTTTTTAAATTTTGAATTATATTATTGACCTTTCATTTTTTTCAAAATAAAGGACATATAATTTGTGAATTTTTTTGAGGAAAAGATTTGTGAAATTTAAGAAACGAAAACTGATCAAACAAAAAATCGAATAAATGAATAGTACGTACCTGCATGTTGCACTTTACAACATCCAGAGGGGTGACGGCTGCGTGCGTGAGGCCACAGCTGAGTATGCCGCCGAAGGTGCAGGCGGCGTAAAATGCCGGAGAAAACATCTTTATCTTCGAGGAGGGCTCCTTGGGTGCCGGAATCACGAAAATCTCCCTCCCCTCCGTCGCCAGCTGAGTGGATACCTGGGACCGCCGATCCATTTCATCGAGACCCGGAGTCGACCCTGAGAGGGAAGAGTAGAGGAAGCCGGGGATCATCGAGTTGGAATAGCGGTAATTATCCGGTAACGCCATTGAGTTTTGTATCGGAGGAATGAAAATGAAGACATTGGAATTTCAAAAGCGCCTTTTATTCACTGCGATTTTGGTAATGGCAGTCTCCGAGAAAAAGGGGTAGTCGAAGATGGCTGCATTTGAATGAGCGTTCCGATTTTTTGCGTGTCTCTCGAATTTTCGTCCACTCATTATACTCCGTATTAATTAGATATAATGATGAGAATATTACTCTAAAAGGTTTTGTAAAGACAAAATTAGGACCACAATTTAATCTGGAGAAAAAAGAGATCTAATAAAATTGAAAGGCCAAAATTACCCCACCTTGCCCTTCACCTCTCTCCCGTACTCCATTCCCCATCACCCTCTATGTGTGATCGATCTCCAGACTCCAGGCCAACCTCAACCCGAGCCTCAACAAAACCGGCTCGGACCGAATATCGGGCTTTTTTCCGGTCCCATTTTTTCATAATCCGAGAAGTTTTGGGTAATTTCCGGGTAGAGCAAAAACACGACCCAATCCGGACCGATCTCACCTCTACTTTTATTGGCTTCGCTTGACTTTGGTTGACCTTGCGTCAGGGTCAGAGGTCAGAGTTGGTACCGAGCTCGATGCGCTCGAGGTCAGCCTCATATTTTGCCTTGTTTAGGTGATTCCCGTGCTCGGTGTTTTCGCCGACCTCGGAGGGTCAAGGTCGGCCTCAGCTATGTCTTCTGTCCTTTGTCGATTTGCCTCCTTGCGCTTGGTCCCGACCTCGATGGGTCGAGGTCGGGGTCAGCCTTTGTACTTTGAGTGTTTTCAGATCTTTTGTGGCCTTTGACCGGCGATAATGATACCCCTGGGGTATATGGAAATAGGGATGGACTCGGACCTGACCGGAATCGGTTCCAGTCCCGGAACCGACGTCCCGATTTTCGAAATTGAGGACTGGAACTGACCCGGTTCTTTATGGACCCGGTTCAGGTCCGTTCTACCCGGCCTGTCTCGGTTCCGGTCCGATCCTTTATTTTATTTTTTTAAGTTATTGGAAAATAAAAACATGAAGTATATTTATTATAAAAACTACAATGTCACTTGTATCAATATTACATTTGAAAATTACAATTGAGAATACTTTAAAGTTGAAAATTACAATACACAAACTAGTCGTCTCTGCTGCTTCCGGCGTCGGTTGTCGTTTCCTCCATGAAATGACGGTCTGATGCTTTGTTGATTTCTTGTGTTCTACGGTGGGTCTTCAACCAATCATGGAAGCTAACGAAACGCTCAACCTGGTTCTGTAGTCAGTTAAAACGTTACCGGCTTCACGGCTTGGCTAAACTCTTGTTCCACAGCAACTTTTGAAACCGCCATCGACAACACTTGTTTGGCCATTTTGTATAAAATCGGAAACATCCCTTCGTGGGTCTTCCACCATTGCAGAATATCAAAGTCCTCTGCTTCATTATACTCAACAGGAAAATGTTAGATATAAAGAGAGCTCGTTAATCGAGCTTTGTGCAACGGCAGAAGTTGATTTACTTTTTTCAAAAGAGTAGATATTGTTAATTTAAAAAAACCTTTTCCTTTAGATGAGGAAGCACTCGGTAATGGGAGAGGGGATGCATTACCATATTGTGCATGAAACTCATCTAATAAAGCGTGAAATGGATTACAAACCTCGTTTAATTGGGCTTGAGTATCTATAGGTGTGTCTTCGTACATAGGGAATGGACCGTAGAAAGCAGTATAATAGTATTCTAAAAATGTTTTATATATAATGCGAAAGTTTGAAACGAGGATCAAGACAGAAAGCAATAGAATAAATAGGCGGAATGTAGGCATAATATTTTAAGAACTTTTCTTTTATGAAATCACAAAAATAATGTACATAAGCAACTTGAGAAAATTCTATAAAAGCACCGGCAAATTAACAGCTTCTATAAAAAATTGGTTGCTAGTTGGTTTATACACATGGGAACGACTTCTATAGGCGAGATGAGCCTGCAGGAAGCTGTTCTAGGCGCTTCCCGAACAGGATGCCTGCTCGAGCCAGTCCATGCTTTTCAGCAGCTTTCGTAAAATCCTCAGAAGATCGAAATTCATCTCGTGTTGATGCCCGAATGGCAGATAAGTCAACGGAAATTTCTCGGGGACCGTCCGGGATCTGAGGGTCGTTTTCTTGAAAAACGACCTGAACAACCTCAGCAACATGAACTTTAGACCTAGCAGTGGCCAGCTCCACCCGAAGTTGGCCAAACTCTGCCTCAAGCTTTTTCCGCTCCTGATCGGTAGCTCAGAGCACTTCAGCGGTAGCCTATTCCGCAGACGTCCGAGCCCTAATCAGCTCCTCCTCTCTTTCCAGACGGGCAAGATGGAGTTGAATGCTATAATAGCCAGCCTACAGACAAAACAGTTATTTACTCAAACGGCATGAAAAGATGAGTGGGGAACGAACAGAAGAAAGTTACCTTAAGAGTTGCTAGAGCAACCCCCGTTTCGGCCTGTTCGATCGACAGTTGAGGGAGATGATAGTCGTTCAGCATGGCAGAATTGCTCCAAATCCGAGTAGGGTGGCATCCACCTTGTTCTATTATCGCATGGATCGGGTCATCCAGCGAGATTGGCTCAACTTGTTTGGAGACAGAGGCATGTCCAGCCCCAACATCAACAGCCCCAAACGAACCCGAGACATCATTGAAAAGGGGATTGCATTGCATATCCCCGAACGGTTGATCCACAGCCATGGCCTCAAAGTTCACCTCTTCAAGAGGCACTTGTCGGAGTGGATAAGGCTGCTGAACCTCGGGTGGAACGGTCGGCTTAGTGCCTTCGGGAACCAATATCTTGGCCTTCTTTTTTTTGAAGTAAAATGAAACTTCAACAAACTGAAGGAAAACTTATGAATCTCTCAATGGTGAACAAAGCTAAATATTAAAACCCCCATAGAGTACATCATGTCATGATTCTTTGACCACAGTATCCAAAACTTCTACACCAAAACACAAGATTTAAATTCGTGAGGTGTATTTCTCAGCTCTTTGCAGCCTGCTTTTCCTTAGTTTTCTGAATCTTCAACACCTTTTTCACAATCTTCTGCTCTTCCACCATGAATGCTCTAATAATCTTTTCCCGGACAGCACTGCCTGATAGGACTCCACCATAAGCACGGTTAACAGTCCTTCTGTTCCTGGATAATCTAGGCCTCTTGTACTCAACAAGCCTCAAGTGGGGAATCCCTTGGATCCGCTTTCCCGTTACAGGACACTTGTGTCCACTAGCCCTCTTCTTTGTGGATTGAAACAATAGCTTACCCCCAGGTGTTTTGACAACACGGTTTTGGTTTGATTTGGTGGCATAGGAATGGCGTGAGCGGTATACGAGCCGTTGCACCATTTTTCCTGTCTTGACGGCTTAAGCTGTAACGGAGAGATGAAGAGATCTTGGCCTTCTTCTGAACGGGTTTCTTTTTTTTTTTTGCGGCACCCATCGTCTCAAGGCGATTCTTATTCATTGCTGCTTCGGTGTTGGGGGCTGTAGACAAAAGAAAAGGAGAATGTTAGTACCGAGCGGTCTTAGCGTGTGTGAAACGAGCATGATATGTAAGTTTCTCGCACGAGAAGGACCGCCCAGCCCATGGCACTTGGTTTTCAGTCAAGGAGACCAGGAATAATGGGCGGTACGTACCTATCCGAGCTTCCACGAGCTGATCGAGGGTCAAATATTTCATGATATCTCAGGAATTAGGGCAGGGATCTGGGCTATGCGTTTAGGCGAAAGTTTTTGCCTTCATTTTTTAATGGACCTCAAGTCTAGAAAATGATGAGGACAGTCGTCCGGAGGGCCTTTCTTCATCATTGATATATCATCGCCAGAGGCCACACTATCAGAGTTATCATCTGAAGACCCACTACAAGAATTGTTGGAACGATCGTCTTCAAAACCATAAATAGAAGGGGCATCTCCGGTCACATTATCTGCGGCGGCATCAGTGCCCGCGGTATCGGCCAAAGTGGCGTTCATCTCAGAATCCCGACCCGGTTCAACGATTGAAGGCTCAGAAGATCCAGAGCTCGTTGACATTTATACCGAACCAAAAAACAGAAATAAAAAGAAGATAAAGGACCGGCGATTACCTGAGCGAAGAACAAAGTTAGGGATTTGGGGAGAAGGCAGATTGCATGAAAGAAGATAAAAAATTCGGAAACCCGGGGGTAAAGGCCCAAAAACCACCTTTATACTAAGAGGCGCCGACTCGCGGACCAATCCTAGGGGGCACGTAGCGAGGAACAATTCAGGGGACACGTGTCGAGCAGAGGCGAAACGACGGGTAATCATGACGATTTTATGGGGAACATAAGCAACAGCCGTCAAAGAAACTTGAACCATCATATCAGGAGTAGGCAGAAACCAGTAAAGGGTCCCGCACGGGGTTACACCGAACGGTGGAAAGATTTTTGTACTTCCTTATGTCCCAAGCACGCTCAGAACATAAGGGAGTGGGGGACTTGTGATAGGATATTGAGGTTCGACCCAATATGGCGGCCCAAAATATCCCTAGAAGCCCAGGCACCAGGGAAAACCCAGAGGTCATAGATCCCGAACGGGAGTTCGGCACATTCTTAAGGTCCAAAATACAAAGGATAGTCAGGAAGAGATCGTTAAGCCCAAATGGTCTGCTTAAAGGCAAGGCCCGTTCGGCACCACCCGAACGAGATGTGACCGACTGCAGTTGATGCTGGATTATGTGGTTCTCAAGTGGCATGGAAAGCAACCAATCGCATAAGGGCGCTCCATGTCTCCATTTAGTATAAATAGCAGTTGCTAAATCGTTGTAAGGGTGGGATTTTATTAACTCACAAACTTATATTGTATTCTAGCTCTCGTATTAGCCTTTGAACCATAATTACCGCTCGGTCATTTCTGTGTAATTGTGATTACTGTATTAATACGAGCTGAGTTGTTTAAATAGTTAAGTCAGATTTTATATTTCCTTGTATACATGTTACCATAACAGTTTAAACCAAGATCCAAGGTTAGTGTTGGGCCTTCGGGTCGTTCGATACTAAACCACAACATATATAAATATATATTTCGTGTGTATATACATTAAATTTTATATTAATGTATAACAGTTACTTAATTATACAATGGGAAGTAATGTAGAAAGTAATTAACAAAAATGAAGGAAGTAAGAACTAGTTAACTACAACAATTTAGGAACTAGTTAACTACAAATGTATATAATTAAATATATATGTTAAGAATGAAGGTGTAGGAGTATATAAATATTATTGTAATATAATATGTTTAATAAGAAAGATTGAAAGAGTAGGAGTAGGAATTTAGAAATAGAAAATATAAATATTTATATAGTATTATTGTGTAATACTAAATAAGTATATAAATATAATTATTATTATTTTTAATCAAAAAAGAGAATTTATTAGAGTAGAATACGGGAATACAAAATGGTGTAGGAGGACATCAACCAAAGCCTACTACCATGAAAGTCAAACAACATAGGGAAAACCGATTGCATCAAACTTAAGAATCCTCAAGAAATGAGAAGATTTCACATCCCTCCCGAGGCCAATATGTAACACCGCCCCCAAGTATTTGTACTTTATCAAATTATGTATTGAACCCTGAGAAATGTATAAAAGCTTTTTACGTGATTGTAAATTTTTATCATTTCTTTTACGTGAATAGTAAAATTCACGTGGGGCCCACACCGGAAGTGGGGGCCGCCCGGTACTGTCGGGACCACATATTATATTAATCTTGGCCTACATAATATGTATATGGTGGTGGATATCCAAATTGGGCCATGGCAATGGCATAGGGTTGACCGGTTAGCCAAACGGGGCCCAAGTATTAGTATCGGCAATTTATCAGATAACAGCCCGAAAAAAGGATTTCGGAGACTTCTAACTTAAATTTGAGGAATGTATATTCATTATAAAGTCCAAAAAAGGATTCGGAACATGCGTTATAATTTATTTGACCCGATAAAATAAATGTAATTTAAAACAGTCCGAAAAATATAATTTTCGGGACCGATTGTACACTCGGGGACACAAAGGGTTGACCTCCCACATGAGTGGGGGCCAACCCACGTCCTTGGTCTGGAAAATATCGAGGGGAGCCGCACATTGGCATGAGGAAAGAGGGGAGAAAGTGTAGAGGCCAAATGTGATAGGAAAGGGGGGGGAGGGGTCCCTCTCCCATATTATTGATGAATAAGCCAAAATGGCTATTCTCAATCACCCCAACTCCTATAGCTCGTCCAACCTACTCAAAGAAGAGAGATAAGGTCTGCAAAACTCCATTGTTACCATCCATACACGCACCAAGAACAAGAGAGGAAGAAGGAAGGAAAAAGAGAAGAGAAAAGGGGAAGTTAGGAAGGAAAACTTGAGATTTACAAGGTAATGACTCCATTAATCCCATTCCTTGTTCTTCAATCATTTTATATGATTATCCGGTCATATTTCACACCCGAGGATTGTTCTACAAGGTATAAGATTTCACGTTAATCGGACTTCGTCTGGGCGGTCAAACGGGCGGTTATCGCCAAGACAAAGGTGATACCCGACCGGGTATGGGTAAATACCCGACCGGGTTTTGATTAAAAATGACTCCAGCAGCCACTGCCACACTAGACCGGACCGGGTATGGGTATAGACCCGACCGGTTCTCAAGTAAAGTTGGCTCCAGGGGCTACTGCCTCACCCTACCCGATCGGGTAAGGTTGGATACCCGACCGGGTAAGGTTGGATACCCGACCGGGTATTGGGTTATGCTCAAAACGGGCAGTTTTGAGTAGGTTAGCGTGGGCCGTTCAGGTGGGACCCGTCCACGTTGGTTACTAAGGATGTTTATATGACTATGGGGCTAGGTATTGTCCATAGTTAAGGGAATGAAAGGTTATCCATATCCAGGTTAGGGTTTGGTAAGGAATAAGGTTGGGGTTGAGCATCCCCGGGACGGTAAATGATCCTGAAACTTGGTTGGGGTTGAGCATCCCAGGGACGGTAAATGATCCTGAAACTCGGTTGGGGTTGAGTTCCCTTGGACGGTAAATGATCCTAAATACTCCAGGTTGGGTTGAGTGCCTTGGACGGTAAATGATCCTAAAACACTCGGTAGTATGAATCGAAGGTATACTATAGCTTGTGAGCTAGGCAACCGGGAAAGGAGTGAGAAAAGTCAAGTAAGAACTTTATCTCTAAAAGACTCTTTAAGGTAAATGACCTACGGGTTGAGTATTTTACGAGTATATATACAGTATGTATCATCGGGTGGATGAGAGACATTTATATACATGTATTACCCTATTTTTGGGTCTCGTGTCTGAAACATTAGTTATTCTTCATATAGCCTGCTTGTCACTAGTACTTCTATGGAGTACTGACCCCTCCGGGGGCCCTCACATTTTTTCAGGTTAAGACTAGAGTCCTACTACCTGCACCTTTGCCTAGGGTGATCGTCCAAGGAGGAAGACGTGGTTCGTGCTTCCATTCGTATTTTAAATTTATAAACTGCTCATGGATATTTGGACACCGTTTTCTTTTAAAAACAGTTGGGAGCCTGCGTGCTCGTGTTTTCCATGTGTGGCTAATTATCAAACATATTATATTTTCCGCATTTGTTTGATTATGATATTGATGTTGATTGTATGTGTTTACTAATCGGTTTGGCAATAGAATCTATCGGACGCCTTGTATGATTCAATAAGGATGAACTAATGTTGTTCTTATCGGGTTGTACGGCTGTTGTCTACGTGGCTCGGATGCGGTCCGGGGCGTGAAACAATATATCTAGCAACCACATTGATATTTTCAGGGATTACGTTGATGTAAATGTAATCTTGATGCAGGATCTTCCTAATTCTCGTTATCGTATGAATGTGATCCCAATGGTCTTTGCAATGTTGCTGGATGGCCTTTTTGACATGTTTGTTCTCTAGGTCCAAGTTGTGGATTCTTAGAGACCTTACCCTGCAAGCAATAATGGCTATGAGAATTGTTTCAAAAAATGCAGTGAAGGGATTAGTGCCAAAATATTCACCATGAAGGTGAAAAACTAATTCACCGTTGTGATTACGAACAGCAACCCAACTTTTAAAGTTCATACCAGATTGAGTAACAGAAATATTGACGGAAAATTTATCACAAGGGGGAGGCAACCATCTATAAATATTGGCTTTTCTCTTCTTGTTCCCCTTCGGGTGATTTCGCCAACCATGAAAATCATGGAGGTCCTTGTTGATTCGGACGATAGCCTCAGGATTACTCATAAGATAATCATGGAAAAAAGCAGTGTTCCTGCGTTTCCAAAGGTTCCAAAGGATTATCATTTTTTCTAAAAAACGTGTCGATTTTGTGGAATTTAAAATATACTCTTTGATGTTGGTTCCCAGATTATGAGGATTGAAACCAAAATGATCCCAGATTTTATGATGGGCAGTGCATTGCATGAAATAATGATCCAGGGAGTCATTATGGTTACAATTCGGACACTTAAAAGGGCCGTTAAATCCTATTTTATAAATATAATTATAATATGAGAATATATGAATTATAAAAGATGAAAGTGTAAATGTGAATAGAGTAGAATTAGCGATTGAGAAATTGAGAATTGAGAGTAGAATGTGAGTAGATGTAGAAAAGTGTGAAAAATATTTAAAATGAGTAGGTATTTATAGGAAAAAATTTGTTAACCCCCACCGCCAAACCCCTTCCCAAACGGCTAGAATGTTGTTACTAGCAGTTCCAAACAGCTAGTTTGACCCTCAGCCCCACCCCCAGTCCCCCTATTAGTTTTTTTAAAAAAAAGTGCTCGTTTGGACCGGAACCGGGACTGGAACCGCCGATCCGGTCCCCAAAACAGCGACCCAGGACCGAGTCTGTTAGTACGTGGTCGGGTACCCGATCCTAGACCAGAACCAGAAAACCGGAACCAGTCCGGTGCGGCACAGTACCGGACTCGATTCTGGACTGGTCCGAGAACGCCGACCGGGTCCAAGAACCTTTAAATGGGACAAAGGGAGTATTAAATCTTTTGATATTGTAATATTATTAAAATTAAATACTCCGTAATACTTTGACAATTTTTGTCTAATGCCTTGTTTGGTTCAAAGGAGGAGAGGGAAGCGGAGAGTCAAGGAGGGAAGGGGAAGGAAGGATTTTGATAAAACAAATTGTTTGGTTGAAGGAAATAAGAGGAAAGGTTTAATGAAAATACTTTCGCAATTTACTTTTATTTGATAGCTTACTTAAAATAATAGATACATGTCTAACTATTGTGAATATTACTCCTATGGTCATGAGTAGGCTTGGACTCGGTGCGGGCCACCCGGCCCGGGAACCGGCCCGGCCCGCTACTGTGCGGGACCGGCCCGGACCGGGAAACCGGGTCCGGTTCCGGTTCGGGCCTAGGCCCGGGGGGTCTACCGGTTCCGGGCACGGGTAAGGGAAAAGGGGAACCGGCCCGGCCCGGCCGGGCCCGATTCGGGCATTTTTTATTTTTTTATTTTTTTTTTTTGATTTTTTTGGTTTGGGCTGGGGTTAGTTGGGTTGGGTTGGGTATTTCCGAGGGGTTTGGGGGTTGGGGGGGGGGGGATGGGCGGTGGTGGGTGAAATAAATAAGAATAAAAAAAATGAACCGGAACCGGCCCAGCCCGGAACCGGTCAAGACACGGGCCGGTCTCGGGCCTATGGATACGGAACCGGCGGCCCAGCCCGAGTCCAAGTCTAGTCATGAGTCATAATTTTATTTTATTTGATTTTTTACTTTTTTAATTTTATAATTTTTCATTTTTCAGTTTGGAATTTTTTTGTTTTTTAAATTTTTTTATTTTTAATTTATAATTTTTAAATTTTTAATTTTTAAAATTTTAATTTATAATTTTTAAATTTTTAATTTTTAAAATTTTTAATTTTTTAATTTTGAAATTTTTTAATCTTTAAATTTTCAAAATTTTAATTTTTTTAATTTTTCAAAACTTTTTTTTACCTTTTTATGTTATAACGTTTTGTTCATTCACATAGGAGATGGATAGTTTGTGATTATCAACACGTTTCCTTCGAAATACCCCAATTTGGGGAGTTTAGAATGGAAGGAAATAGAGGATTTTGAAAGTCTTCCACTTTCCTCCCCTTCCCCTTATTTCCTTCAACCAAACACACACAAATCCCTTATTTTCCTCCCCTCCCCTCCGAAACCCTCGGACCAAACAGGGCCTAATGCATTTTTCAATTACTTCACCCCCAATAAGTTATTATCCGGATCCGCCATTGATATACCCATCATCCCTGGGCAAATTATAACATACATCCGGGTGTAGGTATACACCCGGTATTTTTGTAATATGTTGCAACTTCATGCCTTTAACTTACATATCATGCTCCTGCTCTCTAGTTTTATTTGCTTCTTACGTTAGTTAGTGAGGCCATACCTCTTTCATTTTTCTTACGTTAGTTAGTCACTCTCAGACCATGCCTTCTTTTCTTTATGTTTTCTTTTTGCTTACCAAACTCTTTCATTAATTTTAATTTATAAAAAATACTCCATATGCAATATAAAATGTGATTTAAGGTCCTAGATTACTTGTTTTTTTATTTTCTTTTTAGTAATCAACCTTCGTTATAGTTTAAATATTTCTTTAAATTGTGAATTATAAAATATTTAAGGTATCTATGTTTTTTTCTATTTTTAATTTCAAGATTAATATTTTTTAATTTCATATTTTTTGTTAATTATTTTAAAATTGTGTGTTAATTATTACCATGATTAATTTTCTAACTGAAAAATGATAGATTATAAATTATTTTGCAACTAAAATTTATTATATTTCTCCTTTTTATATACCGGATATAATGATAGCTTACTCAAATGTTAATAATAAATCTATTATATGTGCATATAATAGAAATGAGCTTTATGTTAAACTTAAAATTTTTCAAATTTTAATGTTATATTCAATTATTATGAAAATGAAAATGAAAATGTATAATAAAATGTTATTAAATGTTTCGGTTTATTTTTAGATTCATGTTGGAGTTGATCATAGATATAGGAGCACAAACCATGATACTCAATTGAATGTTTTCAATACTCAATAGAAAAGGTTTGATGCTCAATAAAATATCTTGAAGTTCAACTAAAAACCTTATGATTTTCATATCAATACTCATTTTGTAAGTTACGTTTGTTCAATTTGTACTCATATTATGCTCATTTTTAAAATGTCATATTAATGCAAATTTTAAAAGTTGCATATGACATTAGATTCACATTGTTAGGTTCCTAGTATTGAACTGAATAAGTCTGATGCTCATTGGAAGTGTTTTCATGCTCATAATAGGTCTGATGCACATTAGATGTTCATTAATGCTCATTTAACAGAAATTATGATTTTCATCTCAATAGAGGAGGTTTGATGCTCAATGAAAATGTCATTATGTCAAACTAACAAACCATACGATTTTCATATAAGCGAACATTTTGTATGTTATGTATGCTCATGTGGTACTGATCTTATGCTCATTTTCTAAGTGTCATATCAATGCATTTTTTAAAATACTATTTTACATTAGATTCACGTCTTGAAATTCATAGGAGTTAATTATAAATATAGTTTAATAAGTTTTTTAGTTTTTATATAAGAAAAAAGAACAAAAAGAAAGTGAATTAAAAGTTATGAAGCACAGATCATGATTCTGAATATTAGACTCACAATACTCAACATAATAGGTCTGATGCTCATTAAAAGTTCATTAGTGCTCATTCACCAGAAATTGTGATTTTCATCTCAATAGCAGAGGTTTGATATTCAATTAAAATGTCGTGATGTTTAACTAACAAACCTTACACTTTTCATATCAATGTGCACTTTGTAAGTTATGTATGCTCATTTGGTACTGATGTTATGCTCATTTTTAAAATGTCATATCAATGCATATTTCAAAAGTATCATATTACATTAGACTCGCATATTGAAATTAATAGGAGTTGATTATAGATATAATTTACTCCATAATAAGTTTTTATGAAAGAAAAAATAAGAAAAAGAAGAAGAATTAGAAGATATGAAGTACAGATCGTGATACTCATTGTTAGTCTCCTAATACTCAATAAAATACGTTAGATGCTCACTAAAAGTACACTATTGCTCATTTAGCGGAAGCCGTGATTTTTCACTTAAATTACAAAAATGCCACCGAATTTTTTTGGCTTGTATCAATTATTGGGCTGCATTCCTCAGTTGGGCCGGGTGTATGTACACCCGGATGTACCATATAGGCACTGTCATCCCTGAATATTTAACACAATCCACATCATTACTCGCTGATAAACGAATCATTAGTTTAACATACAACAACCAAAGATACTCGAGTAACTCGATAAGATATTACAAGGATACAGATGCGCTAACGAGTTGATGACCAATAGAAACAAAGAAAAAAAGAGAAAAGCTTTCATCCTGGTCAACAGCATATATTTGGGAATTGGACCAACAATAGCAGCAACTGGTTCATAGAAATACTCTATCTACACATAAACCAATGAAGATGCCATCTTACTCACACACAGAAAGGTCTCTCTAAGCTCATGCAGATTCCTTGGCTTTTGCAGCCTCCTCCTCCTCTTGTAGTCTCTTTAGAGATGGAGGAGGTCTAGGTACAATGCTTTTCTTCCACTGCTTGTCTAACTTTCTTGACAGCCTTTTATTAATCCCTTCCTCAAGCTCTCTCTCTCGCTTAACAGTTAGCATTCTAGCAATCTAACACATGAAGAAGAAAAAGCATTGAAGCAAAGTTTTAAGTGAGAGTGTTAGACTGCTAACTTGCATTCAAAATAAATTCAACTCCAGGTATACCGGACTGCTAAATAGAACACATGTGAAACAGGGTCAATTATACCCTGATAAGGACCAGAGGTTAAAACTGCACTTTTACAAAACTATATTCCACAGACAAAATAAAATTGAAGTTCATAACCTCGAGCTATCAACATATTGTTAGTTGTTACACATAAATAAAATAAATAAATGATTACTAACAACAAAAGCAATTAACTTTATTACCATTCAACACTAGGCGTTTGGTTCAAGGAATGTGCACAAAATGTGTTTAGTTTGTGATGGTTAAAATTACAGGGATGTATACTACGTAACTTGTTAGGTTTGACATAATCTTAAATACTTGATGGATGTTTTGCTTTAATAAAAAGATTAAAAGAAATTAAAATCTTTTCGTATGCCTTGTTATAGTAGAATACTGTAGTAAGTAGGTAATTAAATATTCTTACAAATAAAATAGGTAAAAGAATGAATAAATTTTGGGATAACAATAATATTCTTTTAATTATAAAACCAATACCAATCAATTGTGAAGTTGCGTTCTCGGAATTTCTCTTTCAGTCGGAGTTAAAAATAGAACTAAAGAAGGAATTGTATGATGGCCATGGGAGTGTACTTTGAGGTAAAAAAACAGTGACCCAGAGAAGGTTGATGTACACACTACCCTGAAGGAAATATTAGCATAGACCTTACTTCTCATTGGTGGTACACACAATCTTGGTGGTAATACTGTGATACTGTATACCTAGAGAAAAGACTCTGATAAGCCAGGAAACTGCATTCTTTGTGAAAAAAGCTTGAGGATCTTAGATGACTTAAGAGGAGAGGAGTCACAGTCCCTTAAAAAATAGGAAGAGAGCTGAGTTATCACTGTTGCAAAGAGCAGGGAAATATTCCTGGGAAAAACCATAGCATAGACCAAACATGAGAATAAAAGTTTCTGATGTTCAAAATTCTTTCAGAATGTGTATTTTCCATGAAAACATTTTCTTCAGAGGAAAGCAGAATTGGAAACACATTTCCGTCGAAATGAAGAAAAAATGAGGTGGCAAGTGGAAACGTGGGCAAGAAGCCAAAAAAGCTCGATAACATTGCATGTCTTGGGCCAAACATTACCCAATGCAGAACACAATAAGAAAAAATGATAAAATAAAATTGAAAGACCATGACTGAATTTGGCACTGAACCGTTTCAATCATAATAATTTTGCCTGGCAAATAATACAGTAATACTTAGTAAAAGGTCTTATCTAGAAAGATTGGGTTGATTGGGAGAACCAATACTCGAAAACTTCAATAAAGGAAGTTCTTTCTTTGCAACGGGATTAATCTTGTTTTTTGCCATTTGATCAAAAAAGTAAAAACGCAAAGAAAAAGGAAACACTCGGAAGATAAAGAACAAAGTGCAGTATAAATTGCTCAAAAACGAGATGCTGAACTAAATAATACATGAAAAGAAATACTTCTACAAATTAAAGGAAAAAGTAAAGAACTTAGATTTACATGATACACTCTTCTGAATCTGAAAATACATGCAAAATGGTTGCAATGAAGATAAAATTTATTATCCAAATGATGCCTAGGTGTAACTATCTTAATTTATACACTAAGATGGGGGAACTCGCATGTTTTTCATACTATGATAGTGTAAATGACTGCACAATAAACAAGACATCAGACTCAACACAATCCAGACTTAACAGTTCGTACCTAGATTTTAATAACCTGTAAGATGCAGGTCCAATGAGACATAATTTGGACAAAGAACAGCTATGCAGCCCAACACCAATAATCTTTATCATAACACATTTGCTTTTAATACAAGCACAATCAAATTCTGATACTTTCTTCAGTTCCATATATACTGCTCATATTCACTGATAAATGTAAGGATTTAATATTAATAACTTTTATGATAAATGGGTAGACGATAAGGAAAATCAGTTCTTGTTTTTTCCAATCTCTTCATCACGATCATTACACACACACAAAACAGTTTCAGCCCTCACTGCTTTCACTCATAATCTAAAGGCCATGTATACGACTAAGGGTGGACGATACATGGAACTCATTCAAGAGCTTATTTGAGAGCAAGAATTTATTCATTTTAAGTGAAGTAGGGTAAGAAAGAGTGATAAATCTTAGGAAATGTTTTGGGGATTTTCCTTAAATATGACTAAATTGAAGTTCATTTTCAAAATAATTGACTTTACAAATAGAAGTATAAATTGCAGTATCAAGAATTTGATTGCCCTCAGTCTCCTCACTACTCATATTCACTGATAAACTGATAATCATTTTTCTAATTGAACACTACTCCAGCAGTCCTATACCTTTTCAGAATAACTGAACAGATTAACCTTCAATTTCCAAAGTCATCCGAATAGATGGAAATCAAAGAGAACCAATTCATAAAACACGCATTGCTAGAAACGAATTAAAAATACGATGATAACAAAAGGAGGACATGGACATGAGGGAAGAGAAAGTACCCTTTTGCGCATAATGCCGAAATCGCTGGACTTGAGCTCATTGCGAGCAGACTTCTGAAAACGAAGCATTAGCAGCTCTCCCTTGAGGTCCACTACCTCCTCATTGATTTCATCGGTAGTTTTCAATCTGATGTCCTTCAGTTCATCTTCCCTCTTACCCATGCGCACCACATAAGAGGAAAACGCGGAGTGCAATGTTCCGCCGGACGGCGCGGGGCATACATGAGCGATCCGAACGCCGTGAAAAAATGATTTATTAGAGAGACTCTTCGTCGGAGCAAAGGTCAAACTCGAATGAGACGGCACCAATATGCTCATCATCTTTGCTGATTGATGAGCGACTGGAGGATAAGGACTGCCGATGGAAACTGGAAAGTGCAAAAATGTAAACTCGCTATCCAGTATTGAGTGATTTGAGTCACGCGCTGGTAGAGCATCTCATTGTTTTCGAAAATTCTTAGTTTAAACAGAAAACCATAATTGTTACAGCGTACATTCTGTATACACATGTTTTCGGCAATCTATTGTTACAAAAACTAGCTATGTATTGGTTTGAAAAGAAGCAAGATTTGATGTCAAAATCTCCCAAATTGTTTGTGTACACGGGCAATATACGAATGATACACACATGTTGGTTTTGTTTGTCAATCTATTGCTAGCTGTTAGCTGATTATAACAACTTATTGACAATAGTTGGTTGTGTCAACTGTTTTAGTTAGCTGATTATGTTAGCTGATTGTTAATAAATGTTTGGTAAATTTATTGTTTAAAAATAGTTGTTTGCGTGTAAAAAAACATATAGGACATTGTATTTAATTTTATTTTTGTTGTTAAGACCTACTCCAGTACGGCACACATATACTTCCTCCGTCCCGCAAAGAAGTTCCTAATTTGACCTACACACATATTTATGTAAGATGAAGTTTTGTTTTGACTTTCCAAGTATACCCTTACTTTATGTCAAATCAAACAAAAAGTGAGTAAAAAGTAAGGGTAGTTGTGACATTTTGATTAAAAGCAATGGCGCAACTAGAGGAAAAATTAAGCAGGAGCACAATGACATAATGTACATCATCACATTAATAATAAAATTGTGTTCACAAATTACACTAATAAAACATACCAAATTTAATCAAAAAGGTTAACGTAATGGTGCTAAATCCAACCTACGGGTCCTCACGTTTTGAAAATGTTGGATAATAACCTCATTATCGATGCGCCTAAACACATCTCTTTCTGCGTAGCAGACTACACAATCAGTAAGATAATCATCTCCCATTTTATTACGTAAAGCAGTTTTGACAATCTTCATCGCTGAGAAGGCTCTTTCCAGTGTAGTTGTGGCAACAAGCAAAACTAGTGCCAAAAAATCAGACGGTAAACTAGGTGGAAAACAGTATGAATTCCAACTTCAACCATCTTCTGAGATAGCTCTCCGATATTCTGCAAATTGGAAAATCTTGCATCCCCTTTCATTTCAAAGATCCAAATTTGAAGTTGTTCTTCAAGTTCCATGCGATCTAGATTTGTGAAATCATTTGGATATAATGATGCAAGCTCAATTAACTTTGTCTCACAAAAATTGGAGAAATTATTCTTGGGATCGAGACATGCTACATACTTAAGTAATTATGTCACAGTCTCACTGAAACGATTGTCCATCTCCATTTGAATTTTGTCGATGACCTAACAAATTAAAGTAAAAAAAAAACTAATCAATTATGAACTAAAATTTTACATAACAAATATAGTAAAGTATTTACTTTTACCTCATATAACACCACATACCGAAGATAGTGATAATTAGTTTTATCACCTTCAACATGCCTTGACCGAATGTGTGTAGCAGGATCATCCAAATTAATAATTGTGATACCATAATTCTCACAAAACTTGTTCACATCATTAACAAGACTTTCCCATCCAGTTTTCCTCAAATCTTGCAGCTTTTCTTCCATAGTTTGAACTAAAATTAACAGCCTCAAGAATATTCTGATTTTTTTTGTTGCAGAAACTTAGACAAAACATATGTGAAGCCTGCCATCCGTGTGTAGAGATGTGGCTCGTACAGAAACATTTGAAGAACTAGCATCAAAATTTATTGGTGTTTTTTTCCGGGGAAAATACTTCTCAATAGACATCCCCTAATGACAAATATCGAAACAACAAATAATTAATTCAAGTCGAACTATTAATCTATCGTAAATACTTCATTGATACAAACAATACATTAACTCAAAAAATACAATAACACATAATCGTTATATTTAATTCAATCTAATTTACACAATTACACTACATAATTTTCAAATCATAACTATGAATTTTAAAAATATCAACAGTGAAATGCCAAATTTTATTTAATTTAAAAGAGAAAAAATAGGGAGTCGGAACATACCAAATCGGCAACTGGCAGTTGGACGGCGGGTGGAGTGGCGTCGCCGTCGCCTGTGACGGTGGAGCCGACGGGGAGTTGGTATGCTGCTTGCGCCTTGCCTGCTTCACTGCTTGTCGCTTGAGTTGCTTGAGAGTTGAGTGATTCGCTGAATCGCAGGCTTGGATAATTGGATTAGGAAAAGGGGGACTTTGGGCTGCAGGCGGCTGGGCCAGGCCAAGCCCAATTGGCCTTTAGTTTTTTTTCGTCAACCCAAAACAAAAGGTTTAATTAAAAAAGGTCTCCCTCTTCCTCAATCCCTTGCACCAGACGAACGACCAGCCCTCCTACAACAAACTTCCTCGTCGAAAAGTTCAACGGAGATGCTCCAGCGCCCCCATACCCCTATATATACCCTAGCTCGGCGGCCGAAGCAGAGGCTCCGGCCTCCTGCCCCCCGGCAGTTCCGTCCCTGGTTAAAAGTAGTTTTCTTTTATAGAAACGAGAACTTCTTTTTGAGACCTCCATAAAAGGAAAGTAGGAACTTCTTTGTTGGACGGATGTAGTATGTATAAAAAAATATGTCGATGTTGGACCCATGAAATAATTATTTCATATGGGCTAGAAAATCCTAGCGGCTAAGAGTCTAGTCCAATGATTGAAGTCACCATGTGTGTGGCTTGATAAGTGGATAGACAATTCAAAATTAGAGATAAACATGGGAGGAGATAATGGCTTGAGGAGAAGCCTATTTTGGTAGGAGGTGCCACCTTTTTGGTGGGGAGTTAGAACCTAGTCTTGCATATCTTCTTAAAATAAATATGGAAGCAGGAAGCGTTGTAAAACACACGATCATTCTTGATTACAAACTCACTCACACTCTTGTTCTTGTAAAGAAAATTACTCACTGTTTTCCTAGCATCTTCAATTAAATTTAGTATTTTACTATCAGTTTTTTCATTTATTTCTAGATAAATATCTTGTGCGCTTCCCATATCTTATTTTTTATTGTTAGAAGAAATTATCAATTTCTTGCTTAAACAATTTGGCGCCGTCTATGGGAAATTCGCACAAAGAAGAATCGATCATGGTCGGAAGCACAAATCCCTTGCTAGTAGAATTTCACGAGCAACTTCAAACCGTCAAGGAAGAAATCTGGCGTGTAATGGCTCAGCGGATTGCTCTTCTCCAGCGAGAAAATGACGTATTGCGCTCTCAAGTGCAATCGGTGGCGTCCATAGCTTCCAACTCAAGATTTAGCCGAAGAGGTGACGCCATGACAGCAGCAACGAGGTTGGATTTAGACCCCATTCCAATCTCGACCGAACCACTCACCAATACGACGGACTCGCTATCTCTTACGTTGGGGTTGTCACCGGCCGGCAATCAACAACCCACAGTTATGTCACAGAATCCCAGAAGGAACATGTTTCAGAGTCTATTTCCGGAACCTCAGAGACGAAGAGTTCCAGACCGTGTCGACATCCCTCGACATGTCAACATCGCTCGACATGTCGACATCAACAACCAGAGACAACAAGAGCCCGAAGTCATCATGATACCAGCCAACCAGGCAGGAGGCAACCCACGCAATGATGCCACCAACCTCGACGACAAGACAGATGCAAGCATATCCAACAGACCCCTTAGCCGTCATCATGGAAGAGCTGAGGGAAATGCGAGAGAAGATCAATGGCATTCCCGGGGTCCCACCACCATTGGACGTCGCTTCACAGACTTGCTACGCAGATTCCCCTTTCGGACGATACATCACGGACATCGAGATTCCAAGAAAGTTTGTTGCCCCCTCGATGAGATTATTCGATGGAACTACCGACCCCCTGGAACATGTCGCTCAATACAAGCAGCAGATGCCTGCCGTCTCGGTCAGAAAAGAATAGCGGGAGGCTTGTATGTGTAGGGCATTTAGGATGACATTGACAGGGCTAGCGTTGACATGGTTCGTCAACCTACCAAATGAAGGAATCAAGTCGTTCGCGGAGTTAGTCAATCTATTCAATCAGCAATTTGCAAGCAGTCAGGTTCTAGAGAAGCAAACCAACGATCTCTACCGAGTAGTCCAAAAGCGGAACGAGTCATTAAGAGACTACCTCTACCGCTTCAACAAAGAGAACGTGTCGATCCCAAAATGTGACGTCTCTACCATCGTTGAGGCATTCAGAAGAGGTTTGTATGAAGATTCAGAGTTGTACCACGAACTGACAAAATACCCTTGTCGGTCCTTCGAAGATGTCCAAGCAAAGACGTTGGCTTTCATCCGTCTAGAAGAAGACTTGTGATCCCGTCGAAGACAGATTGAGCACGAAGGGGGGCATGGGAAATGGAGGCATGATTGCAAGCATAGAAACCCATATTCGAGACCTGAGGAACAAGTCGTCACGAGATAGATCAGACGACGTGATCGAAGTCGTCGGACGGGGGGCATGTCGTCCAATGCTAGATGGGTTCTGAAAAGCTTCAATACGGTACCCTTACAGTTGTTTCATTTTTAGTTTAATATTTTCTTTTACATAGTGTTGTCACTCCTGTGACGAGATAAACCAGACGACATGATTGAAATCGTCGGACGGAGGGGGCATGTCGTCCGATGATAAAACTGACTACATGATTGAAATCGTCTGACTACAGACAGGTTCTGACGATAGATATTTATTTAGTTTCATATATGTGTTCTCAATTTATTACTTTTCTTTACCTATAAGTGATCACTAACTTAAGCATCGGAGGGCCGTTGGCTTTAGCCAACGGCCGAAGTTAGCAGATTCTTTTTTACACAGGAACAATTAACAATTGACAATGGATGAAATAGTGTCCTGACTTACGTCATACAAAGTCTTACAACGCGTCAAAACACAATTGACGGGGCTTACATCAGATGAAGCCTTACAACACGTCAAAACACATCTGACGGGGACTTACAGAATTTTAGGGGAAGAAGTGGGGTTTTCATGTACGTTAAACAAGAGTATAAAC